TATGATCTCATTTATTTTTGCTTTTATTTTCCTTGTCATTGGAGTCAAGTCCCCAGAGACATCACAGAAGTCAGTATCGAAGTGTTTTGCTAATGTTTTCTCGTATGAATTTGATGGGTTCAGGTCTTACATCTAAGTCTGTAATCCTTCTTGAGTTGATCTTTGTGCGTGATGTTAGAGAGTTGTCTAATTCCATTAGTCTGCATGTGACTGTCCTGTTTTTCTAGCACCATATGTTGAAGAGACTTTCTTTTCTCCACTGTATACACTTAGCTTCCTTGTTGTTGATTGACTGTTCATACAGATTTGTTCATATAGGGTTTATTTCTGGACTCTCAGTCTTGGCCCATTGATCTGTGTGTCTATTTTCATTCCAATACCATACTGGGAGTATGATACTTCCATTCCTTTTCTTTTTTGTCAAGATTGCTTTGGCTATTTGGGGTCTTTGTGGTTCCATATTAGTTTCAGTAATGTCTGCTTTGTTGATTTGAAAAAGTCTACTGAAATTTTAATAAGGTTGCATGGGGGCCTCCCTGGTGGCACAGGGTTTAAAGACACACCGCTATCAAGCTATTGACAGACACTGCAGAACAAGTTCCCTTAGCCTGCCAGGGAGCTAACCCACATGGTGCAGCAGACCTTTCCTGTCTCGCCTGCTGCTCCCCTCAACAGTGTGTTTCAGTAGATCTGCCTGTTCTGCTCCCCACTCTCTCTGGTGAATTCTCTAACCCCCACATCTCTGACCTACACCCTAGTTTTTGTATGCATAAATAAATAAATCTTTAAAATATAAGGTTGCATTGATTCTGTATATTACTTTGTGTGAAAAGACCTTTTAATAATGTTAATTATTCCAATCCATGAGTAGGAAACACTGTCCATTTCCTTGTTGCAACAGGAATTTTGTTGCCGATTTGCGGCGAGAACTCGATGAGGGACACAACAGTCGTGGAGCAGTTTTGCAAGGCAAACCTGCTTCTTGAGCAGAAGTTCTTGTGCCATTTATTTAAAGCACACAGGCTAGTAAAAGCTGATCATGCGACATGGTATGAGGAATAAGGTCCAGAGAGTGGGATAAGAATGGGGGACAAAGTTTTACAAGGGACAGGGAAGGGGAAATTGTGGCCATATGTCAAAAGACACTTGCGCCAGCAAAGTATGATGTTATCAAAGGCAGAGGTATCCCGAGACCGCCATAGAGATAGCCATGTAATCAGGTCAACAGTGGCCTAGGCATCCCCTGGCCTGCCTCCTGATACGGGCTATGCTCCATAGGTAGTTAAGGAATGCTCTGCTGTGATTTGCAGATAGCAAATAGGTCACAGTTGCCCATGAGTGGTCAACTCATAAAAATCCACATATCCCCCATTTGTATTACATAGTCTGGTATCCCGCTCTTGGCAGCTACATGACTGGATGTAGACACAGCACCAATGGTCCTGTGTCACGCTGGAGGAGAGATGGAGTCCATAGAACTTGTTGAGTCCAGAGTCTAGAGGGCTTATTGATGTTCACCAAGATAGGCCTTGTATCTTCTATTTCTCTTTGCAATGTCTTATAAGTTTTATTGACTAGATCTTCTACCTTCTTTGTTAGGTTTATTCCTACTTGATACATTTTGATGGTACTTTAAATGGGACTGTTTTCTTGATTTCTTTCTCTTTCAGTTCATTATTTGCATGTAGGAATAAAACAGACTTTTGTATATTGATGTGTGGCCTGTGGAGCACCTATTTCTAAACAAGGCAGTGACTGAGTCTTAAGTCAGACATAGATTAAAATCCTGGCTACATGATCTTCGCTCAACAACTAAACAAAATTCACTTGATTGCATCTTTCTTCATTTCAAAATCAGGTCAATAATAGAAATTATCAGCCTCCCTGGTGGCACAGGGGGTTGAGTGCAGCTCTGTGAAGCAATCCACAGCCTCTGCAGCGCAGGTTCAATCCCAGCCAGCCAGGGATCTGCCCACACGGTGCGGCAGACCTCTCCTATTTCACCCGCTGCTCCCCTCAGCAGTATTTTCAGTCAGTCTGCCTGTTCTGCTCCCCACTCTGTCTCTGGTGAATCCTATCACCCCCCCCACACCTCTGGCCTATACCCCAGTTCTTGTATGCATAAATAAATAAATCTTTAAAAAAAATAGGAATTATCTTGTAAAGTTACCAAGATTAAGTGCCCTAATAAATGCAAAGCCCTCTAGCTGGGCAGAAGCTTCATACACTTTTATCCTAGAGGCTAACAACCATTTTTATTTTAAATGAATTCTTTATTTATTTGCTTATTTTTTTAATTTATTTGTTTTATTTATTTAGTTATTTATTTCAGTAGAAGAACGAGGGTATAGGCCAGAGGGGCAGCGGGGTTGGTGAGAGGATTCACCAGAGACAGAGTGGGGAGCAGAATAGGCGGATCTACCGAAATACACTGCTGAGGGGAGCAGCGGGCAAGACAGGAGAGGTCTGCTGTGCCATGTGGGTCAGCTCCCTGGCTGGGGATGGAATTCAGGCTGTAGGGGTGACAGCGCTGAGACTTAATCCCTAGGCCACCAGGGAGGCCCATAAGAACCATTTTTAAAGACCAAGATATAACCAATAAAAACAAATAGAAAAAAAATGCACTTTTTGGTGGACTCTCAGGTTTGGGGTCTCTGGATATGTTTTATCATTAATAGGAACATGTGTGTGTCTATCTTAATATACAAAATTACATATGAAATACTAAGCACTCCCAGGGAAAAAAATTCACCTCCTCTACAATCCCTGTCTCCTGATCTTCATAACTTTTCCACCTGCTGAACTCAAGATAAAGAGTAGAACTCTGGTGACTTCTAAGCTTAGACCTCAATAGCCTGAGCCCTCTCCCTTTGAGGTTGCACCCTGCATGGTTCAATCTTTCCAGGTGCCCCCATAGGAAGATGATAGGACTTTTTAATTTATATCTGAGCAGGATAAGCAGAGATAATATTAAAGAGAATGCCAGTAAGAGATATGTTTAGACATTAAAAAAAAAAAGACATAACAACAAGAACTAGAAAATAGAATGTGTTGATAATCTATGGATTTAAGCATCATGGATGGAAAATATATACTACTTTGTTTGGCCTGTGGTTATTGCATCTGCACTGAGCATGTGCAGACTTTTTTTCCTTGTCCTTATTCCCTAAACAATATATGGTATAACAACTATTTTCAGAGTATTTACATTGTATTAGTTATTATAAGTATTCTACAGCTGACTTAAAGTATAGGGAAAATATGCATAGCTTATATGCATATACTATGCCCTCTTATGTAAGGGGCTGAGCATCCTTGGATTTGTGAGCCTGTCGTGGGTTGTGAAACCAGTCCCCTCTTGGATACTGAGCGACGTCTATACATTTATTGTGCTTAATATTTAATAGTCTCTTGGCCTCCCTGGTGGTTAAGACACAACACTATGAAGCTATCTGCAGCCACTGCAGCATGAGTTCGATCCCTGGCCAGGATGCTGATCCACATGGCGTGACAGACCTCTCCTGTCTTGCCCGCTGCTCCCCTCAGCAGTGTATTTCAGTAGATCCGCCTGTTCTGCTCCCTGCTCTGTCTCCGGTGAATCCTCACACCCACAGCATTTCTGACCTGCACCCCAGCTCTTGTATGCATAAATAAATAAATCTTTAAAAAAAAAAGATTTAAGGGCCTCCCCGGTGGCCCAGCGGTTGAGCGCTGGGCTGCGAAGTTGCCTGCAGCCTATGCAGCTCCGGTTAGATCCCCGGCTGCTCCCCAGCCACCGGAGGAGGGTCCCGCATGGCGCGCAGACCTCTCCTGCCGCCTGCGGCTCCCCTCAGCAGTGTACTTTGGTCCTCCTGCCTGCTCTGCTCCCTGCTCTGGCTCTGGTGAATTCTCTCACCCTCCCACGCTTCTGACTACCCAGTGCTTGTATGTATAAACAAACAAACAAACAAACAAACAAATAAATAAATCTTAAAAAAAAAGATTTAATAGTCCAACTTCAGATGACTGAAATAATTCTCTAAATTCTAGGCAACCATGTTTATTGTTCATCTCTACCCTAGAATCAGCACCAGGGTAGGGGATTTCTTGTCACCAATACTCAGCTTCTCCATCACACACACAGCCACACCTCCCACCTGGCTTCCTGTCTCTCCCAGAGCTCTTCACCCCAGAGCCACACATCTTCAAATCCCTAATCCTCTCCCTTCTTCCACCTATCCTTCATATCGACTTCTGACAGCCTTTTGGGTCAAAGGTCACAGGTCATCCATTCATCCCCTTCCTCCACCCGGGATTCTTCTACCCAGCTCAAGGGTGCCAATGGTGCTGTCACTGCCCCCACAGTTGAGCTATTTGAGACTCATTCCTTTCACCATCTCATTCCTCCACCTCAGCTGGTGATTAGCAGATCAGGAAGATCTTCCTGAGGGGTTGAGTGTGGCCCTTGTGTTGTGGTTTATGCTCAAGTCTCCCTGTCCTCTCTCCCACGAAGACTCCAAATCTTCATTTCAGTTAGGTGTGACACTCCCAGGAGGCAGGAGGCACTGAGAGGGGTCAGGCTTGGGGGGCACCCATCAGGGGCAATGGACATGACCTGGTGGCCCATGGGTCACAGACCAGCCACCAGTTCTCTGCTGCTCCTTCTTCCTAAGATGCTCCTTCCCTCTTTCCCTCAAACACTAGACTCATCTTTAAGACTTCAGAAATCCATCCCAACCCACTTCCCTTCCACACCCGCAGGCTGGGTCATACCCCCAGGCTGGGTCACACCCCCACACTGACACCAGGTCAGACCCTTATCGCAGCACCACCAGGCTGTGGTGTAATTTCTTCTCCATGTCTCGTCCCATTGGCTCTTTTATATACAGGACACATTTTTTCTTTTCATTTCATAACACCAGTAGCTACCATACTGATTGGTTTATAGTTAACACACAGTGTTTCCTGAGGATATGAGTAAAATGAAGCCCCCCCCTTTTTTTTTTGAGAAACAGCAACAAGATGAAGAGGCGGGGGGTGCTTTGTTTAAGATCATACAGTTGGTTGGTTACAAGGCTCAGTCTAGAATTGGGTCTTCTGGCTCCAAATCGGGTGTTCCTTCCTCTCACGGTTGATTCAGTGCCTGGAGGGGCTGCTGGTGAGGGGTGGGGTTGTCAGCACCTTCCCCAGACATCCTGCCATCCATTGGGCACTGAGGGAAGGGCTGGACCAGCAGCCCACCATGCCTTCTTGCCGAAGTCCTGACTCCACCACATCATCTAAAGCAGTACTTTCTGTTCCAAATAGTCCAGGTGATCCAGCCATGGTCAAGTCCATATGGCCCTCTCTTACACCACTAGAATTATACCCTCTCAGGAGGTCAGGGAGAAACTGGACCCTCGGCCCCAGAGTCCAAAGAAGGGAAAGACCTTCTGGGTGAAGGAGGCAGTGAAGGTGTAGATGGGCTCCTGGGTGAGAGCGTTGACAAAGGTCACCCAGCCCACCTCATAGTCCAGCGACACCCGCACCTGCCGGGGCTGCTCCTCGAGGGCCAGCCGCGTGGGGAAGGAGCCCAGGGCCGACACAAAGCCCCAAGCCAGCCTCACGGCCCACACCCCCTCCTCGGGCCGCATGCGCAGCTCCCCCTTCCGCCGCGCGTCCTCGCTCACGATGCCCAAGGTGCAGCTGCCCCCGTGGGCCAGGTCTACGCTCACCACCCACGTGTGTCTCCCCCCCGTGAAGCCACCGTGGGTGAGGACACAGGTGGCCCGGTCAAAACGCTGAGGGTTGTCTGGTGAGTTCTGCCATTTATAGGAGAACCGAGCCCTCTGGAGGTCCTCGGACAAGAGGAGCTTGGGGTGGGAAGTCTGGGGGTCTAGAGAGAGCTGAGCTGTGGGGAAAAACCAAAAGGGACACATCAGCAGACACGTTATCACCCCCAGGAAAGGCCTAGAACTCCCCATGACGCCACATGTTGGTGTTATCACCAACAACGTCAGAGGCCATGGGATAGGCAGCGCAGGTATCACCTGGGAACTTGCCAGAAATAGACTCCAGACTTCACCCTCACCACCTGCGACAGAACCCGCATCTGACTAAGATGGCAGGTGATTTGAGCACGTGTTAATGCCCGCCTCCGAGCCCCGGTAGCCCGGATTGCGCTGCCCTCCCCCGTCTGTTCTGTGCAGGTCTCTGGGAAGCCGCCTGTCCCTGCAGACCCGTCGGCTGCCAGTGTGGCTTCCACTAGGGGCGCCTCCTGCCGCTGTATCTCTTATCTCCCAGGGCAGGCAGGCAGGCGAGAGTTCTCCCTCTTGGTCCAAACTTCACGATTCCTCCCCAGGCACTTAATGACTCATTAATAGTCTTTGCCCAGGGCAGGCTCCTGGCTCTCCCGAGGTTATTCATTCTGCCTTGGTAATTCTAAATAGTCTGTTTTTTTTAACATCAAAAACTTCTGTAGACCTTGCATAGTGTTATTTTTACTATCCACAAGCTAAGAAACAATCATAAACTCAGTGCCCTAATGACAGAGCTCCTTCCTACAGAGCTCGGACCTCCCTAGGAGACCGGGCACCACCCCCACCATGGGGCCCATTCTGCCAGCCCTTCCCCACCCACAGGCTGGCCCTCTTAAGTCTCACCTAGGATGGCCCTAATAATGGATTCTAAGCCCTGATGAGAGTTCCCCACATCCAGGAAGCCTTTTCTGATAGGCCTTGTCCTGCTTGTCCTCTCATCATGCAAGATCAGAATGGGAGCTACCTGCCAGCTGTGTGGTATGTGTGTACCTGCTCTTCATGGCTCTCTCTAGGTCTTCCAGTGGCACAAGTAAGTGTGTGTGTGCGTGTGTGCACATGCATGTGTTTGTGCATGCCCACCTTGTCTTCTTCCATTTTAGATTGCTCACTCCCTCCCATCTGACACAGGCTGCTACGTACCTGGCTCATAGTCCAACTCAAAGCTAAGTTTTTCTGTAAAGAGGAAATAAAACAGGATGAGATTTAATTAATTTCACAAAATCATAGAACATTTAGTAATGAGAAAACTAAGACCCAGAGAAGGGAAGAATGAAGAGAAGAATGGACGCTGGGACCCCCTAGACCTATGATTTAGCATTTGCTACAACTCACATATCTGGGGGCCTCCCTGGTGGTGCAAGGGGTTAAGACACAACCTACGAAGCTGTTTGCAACCACTGCAGTGAGAGTTCAAGCCCTGGCCAGGGAGCTACCCTCATGGTGTAGCAGACCTCTCCTATCTTGCCCGTTGCTCCCCTCAGCAGTGTATTTCGTCATTCTGCCTGTTCTGTTCCCCACTCTGGCTCTGGTGAATCCTCTCACCCCACACACTGCTGGCCTGTACTCCAGTTCTTGTATACATAAATAAATAAATCTTTAAAAAAAAAAAAACCCTCACATTTCTGATTCAGATGGGATGGGGCAGGGAATCTGCTTTTCTAACAAGTTTCCAGCGGTGTTAATACTGCTGGTTGGTTGTGAGTGCCACTCTGGGGCCCCTAACTCTGTGTTGGTGGGACCATGTCTGCCTGCTCACCTTCGTATCCTCAGTGTCTCCTATAGAGCCCAGAGTTCCCCACATCGAGGAAGCCTTTTCTAATAGGCCTTGTCCTGCTCTGTCCTCTCATAACGTAGATCAGAATGGTAGCTTCCTGCCAGCTGTGTGGTATGTGTGTACCTTCTCTTCATGGCTCTCTCAAAGGCCTTCCACAGGCACAAGTGAGTGTGTGTGTGTGTGCACGCACATGTGTTTGTGCATGCTCACCTTGTCTTAGCATAGTAAATGCTCAAGAAACACCTGCTGACTGAATGGTAAGTGGGTTAATATATTTCTCATTCTGCTTGGACATAATTTTAGTGATAGTCAAAGGTCAGTCTCTGATAAGCAGAAGTCCTTCACTGCCAGGGAGTACTTGCAGGAAGTGGACCTGTGGGAGAAGCTCGTGCAGGGTGATATTTTTGTGGGTGAACCATTTAGAAATAGGTGGCATCATTCATGATGTCATGTGAGGGATGGGGAGGTGCTGTCAGAGAGTCACATTCCTGGTCTCATTTCAAACCCACCACACCCTTTCTTACACAACTTCCTGTTCAACAAACGGGAGCACAGCCCCCAAAGGAGCAGTCCAACTCAGACCCAGATTGACAGGAAGTGAGAGAAGGAGGAGGGAGAGAAGCCAGTTACCATAGGGCACAGGAAATGCTGCTTGTTCTTAGTTAAGAATGTTCACTATGAAAAAATTATCTTATGCTACAAATGCCCCTGTGGATTTTTTAAGTTCTTGAGAATGACAGATCCTCTTAGTCATTATTTCTTATATTGCTTAATGCCAATTGATCAGATTTGTTGTATGATTTTCAATTTTTTTTTTTTGCTTAAGTATTTTTCAAATCAGCTAAATTTTCCCCAGAAATCTTCACCTTTATTGTCTCTCCTCACTGTTACATTATCCTGATAAGGAGATCTTAGAAAGATTCGCAAAGAAGGAAACCAGGGCACAGAAAGTGTACAAGCCCTGCCATAAGTCACACAGCACTGGGCAGTGGAGCACCAAGAGGGAGGACATTCACGGAGCCTGTGCTCTGAGGAGGCCTGGGGTGTTCTTACCCAGAAACATCTTCATCTCCCTCTGCAGTGGGAGGGCCTGTTGGGGGAAGTCCCGAATCCTTTGGCCCAGCTCACGTGACACAGCCTCTGGTTTCCGGCACTTTCTGGTTTCACATCTGGAGGCAGAGAAATGGCAGGGCCTGGGAATTATCCTCCTGAGCAATGCCTTCAGACTCAGCCAGCTGTCTTCTTCTAGGTGGGCATGAAGGACCCCAGGTGGACATCCTTCCATTAGAGTGGACCCCATTATCTACTCTTGGGCAATGCTATGCAGGGGTGTATATCTACAGCTGAATGTGGGGAGTGCAGTTGAGTAGATGAAACTTTACCTGTGGCTTTTATCCTAAATATGAGAATGTTGTACATTTGTATAGCAGTAATTAGGATGTTGTGCATGTAGGTGCATGTAGGTGGGAAAAGAGAACAATTACATCGCTTACCGTATTAGAGTACTTCTGATATCCTAGGAGAAAGAGAGAGGGCAGGGATTCAGTTTCCAACCTCCCCTGTCCACTTTTCTTATAACTAAAAAAAAAAAAGACAAAATACCATATTCCTAGCTCTGGATAGAAAAAGGACACCAGATTTGTATGTGAAATATAGAGAAACCAAACAAAGGATCAGACAAAAAACAAACTGTAAAACCAGCCCTTGAAAACCAACCATAAATCTGTGACATCCAGAGGAGAAGGGGGAGGAGGAGGGGTGAGAAGAGAGTTGGGGGAGCACAATGGACTATGGTGGAGGACTATGGTGGGAGCACTTTGGTGGGAGCACTATGATGGGAGCACTATGATGGGAGCACTATGATGACTACACCTGAGGGGGAAATCTTATACCTCCAAAACACTTTTGACAATGATGTAAAGCAATGTTAAGTAGAGAGGGAGAAAACATCAGTGCCATAGAGTCACAGCATTTGGGGGTTCACAAAGCTTCAGGGCTCTTAAGCTCAACCCCTTTATTTTATAGACCCACATGGTGAAGTGACTGGCCCCTGCTAGTCAGAGGCAAAGGCAAGTCCCATCCCAAGATCTCAGATTCTCAGTTCCGAGTGTGTCTTGCCAAATCAGGCTGCCTTTCTGATGCCTTGTTGGGGCACCAATATCTCCCCTCCGGTGCAAGAAAGTGAAACAAACTAGGAGGAACTTCCTGGTTGGTGGAAGGAACAAGAGACAGTTTGTTTTGAATGGAGCACTTGACACTTGTTTGCACAATACGTGAAGCTTTTCAGAGTCATACTTTCACTTGCATTTTACTGTTGGGTCTTCACAAATCCTCTGGGAGTGAATTAGGAAAGAATCTTCCCTATTTAATGGATGGTGGGGTGGAGAGACTGAAACCGGGGAGTAAAGTGACCTGGGGAAGCAAGAACTAGCATCAGGACTTCTGATCCTGTGACACATTTTCCACTTGGGATGCAGAGACATATGCAGGAAGGAGTGCGGGCTCGGATAAGGCGAGGCTGCAGCAAATTACACGCAAACCCAGGTGGGCGGGACGGGGCCAGGTCTCACCGTCAGCAGCTCCCTTGCTGGCTTCTCGTTCTTCTCTTCCAGTTCTGCAATTAGAGCACTAAACCGACAGATCTCCCCAGTGACCAGCATGTCAAACTCATCCCGTTGCTTCAAGATGTCCCCATCCAGCTTCTCCAGTTGGGCTAAGAGGATGCTCTGCTGTTCCTCCAGGAACTGGCTCAGATGTGCAAACTCAGAAATCACTTTTTGTCGCTTGGTGGCCAACTGAGTCTGAGTGGGCAGGAGGAGTAGCCAGAAAGAAGTTATTCCCCTTCCTTCTTCACTTTCTTACCTCCTCCAATTTTTTTCCCCCTCTCTTTCCTTTTTTAATTAGTTTATATGACCCAGATGCACATCCTCTGAAGCTTGGTAGTAAAATCAGAACCCCCACCTTGCTGCCTGGGTCCCCAAACAGACTGGGAACCGTGGTTGGTTTCCTTTCCACCCCATGACATTTCTGGGAGCTAGACTACCCACACTGCAACTTCTAAAAGAGTGGGGTTCAGAAGAGGTGTAGGGGTGGTGGTAGTGATACCCTACCCTCCAAGTGGCACAAAACACACCCTCTGCATGGTACCAAGCTGCATTACAGGCACAGCCCCTTCAATCCTTACAGCAAGTCAGTGCAGTAGCCATGATTATTAATCTCCACTTTACAGATAAGTAAAGTGAGGACAGAGTGTTGCTTGAGGTCAGTGATCTAGTCTGAGTTAGTGCTGAGTCGGGACTCACATGCAGATGACTCAAGCCTGTGTTCCAGGGAGGCATCCGGCCCCGAGGAAGGGGTAGGCTTGGGGAAGGGATGATGACTTACCAGGAGGACTTGTATCCTTTGATTTTCTCTTGACTGGATTCCTTGAATCTCATCTCTCTCTTTTCTTAGACACTCAAGACACTTCTGAATTTGTTCCTGGAGAAAAAGAACATAACATACTTAAGATGGAAACAAAGATTAGCTACCTGGTGGCGCAAGTAGTTAAGCACAGTACTGTGAAGATATCCACAGCCTCTGCAGCACCATTTTGATCCCCAGCCGGCCAGGGAGCTAACCCACATGGCACAGTAGACCTCTCCTGTCTTACCCACTGCTCCCCTCAGCAGTGTATTTCAGTCTGCCTGTTCTGCTCCCCACTCTGTCTCTGGTGAATCCCTGGCCTGTACCCCAGTTCTTGTATGCATAATAAATAAATCTTTAAAAAAAAAAAACAGATTTGTTGAGAGGTGCCATGTCACCCAACTCTGCTTGGAGGGTGTGGGGGTGACCCAAGGGACAATGCCTGGGCCTGCACCGCCCTTGAGAGTTTACTCTCTTTGGGTTTTGTTCCTCTTGCTTTTGTCCTCCACCAATTTTGATCAGAACTCTCCCCCTCTATCCTGTGCCATCACAGGCTATGACTTGCTGTTTTTACCCAAGCCTTCCTTGTTCCTAGGTAAACACACTAATCTCTTTTGCCTTTGGCAAGTTATAACTAGGGTCTGTCCTGAGCTAGAAATAACCTCTGAAATTATTTCAACTTTCTCACATGTCCTAAAAAGAACATTCAAACAGGCCTTTTGGTGGATGGAATAATTTTCTGTATATGATTCTGGATGGGGAGAAGAAATTTGGATGCTAAAATAATCGATGAATTGTTTTAAAAATTGCATGCTGTAGAATAGCGTTAAGTCCGGTACACATGCATAAATGTCCTCAGAGGTACATTCAGAAATATATATAAAGTTATTACCATCAAAGATCAGTAACAGATTGACACAAACACACAGATACCCACTTGTTATAAAACATAATACATGAATTCATAATACATGAACAACAAAAACCCAGCACATACTCATTTAATGAGAAAATTACATCTCACATATATTACACAACGTGCATACGTAAATATTATTTTCCCACAATATGAGCATTCAGCTACACATTTACATACTCAGACAGTCAGACCTCCCATTAACACCCCACATGCAATAAACATGCAAGCATCAATACATATTCACACCATTTGTACAATCATTCCCTCGAATACAAACCCAGACGTCCTCACACAGACCTGATCAACCCATGACACAGACACACACACTCTTCAGTTGTTCATTCATCCAACAGGTGTTACTGAGCTCCTATTATGTGTTGGTCACAAAAAAACAAGATAAAACTCGCTAAAATACAAACACGTGATCTTCCAGGCCTGGGTCTGTTGCCTGCGTGATGATAGAAATAGGCAGATAGAGTTTGGCTTCAGAGGCCCAGATCACTCCCAGCTCCGCTCTGATTCTTAGCCCAGTCCAGCCCCAGCGCACGCAGAGGGCCAGCCCCGGTTCCTACCCTGTAGGGCCCGGCCGCGTCCTCCAGGAAGCGCACGGTGTGGGCCCGGTGCTCCCAGGCCTCGCGGCACACCACGCACAGCTGCGCCTCGTCGTCCTCGCAGAAGTAGTAGATCTTCTCCCCATGATCCCGGCACACGTCCTCCTCCTGGGCCCCTGGCGCGGCCACCAGGCGCAGGCGCTCGATGTTCTCCACGACGCTGGCCAGCTGCCAGTTGGGCCGGAAGCTGCCTGGGCGGAAAGGCTCTTTGCACAGCGGGCAGGTGGAGGGCTCCTCAGGGTCCGGGCCGGGGATCTCCAGGTAGCGGGTGAGGCAGCCCCGGCAGAAGTTGTGACCGCAGTCGATGGTGACCGGCTCCCGCAGGGTCCCTTGGCAGATGGGGCAGTTGACCTCATCTGCCAGGCTGGTCACAGAGGCGGCCGAGGCCATGGAGCCGCTGCACCTGCCGTCTCCTCAGGGTCACCCCCTCTGCTTGGAGGAGAAGGGGCTGGGATAACAGTGAGAAGACACACCGCATCACATAGCACACACATGCACTCACACACATCTTAAATACACACCGACAGCCTCATGGTCACACACGTAAACACTGTGTGCAAGGGCAAGACACACACTGGCTGCTCTGGCAGCCAAGGCTCTGATGTTCTCCTCCCAGAGGAACAGGCACAGCCTCCAACAGCGGAGATGAAGTAGCAGCGGAGGAGGAGGAAGGGCTCACGGTCTCCAAGATGACTCAGTTACTCCCTGTACTGGTGCCCAGGACCTGGGCTCACTGCTCCTTCCCGTCCATCTGAGCACACTCACAGGAGAAGGACAGTGGTGGTGTCTTTACTGTCCACAAGTTGAAAGAGATGGTTCTCTGGGGGCAGGAGAGAGTTGAGATAAGGAGGGTGATGCCACCCCAGTCTCCCTGCAGTATGACCAACTGTCTCCAGGGAGATTGGAGTTATCAACCAGTCCAGGAGTGTGTGGGGACCCAGATAAGTTCATGGTGCCCAAGGGGAACACTGCACTGTCAACCTCACCAGTGATGCACCAACCATCTGCCCTAGGGTTCCAAAGAGGTTGGAATGTACCCTTGTGGGGAGGAGAAAGAAAAATAGCAACCGCCAGTATTTATTTATTTATTTTTAAGATTCATTTATTTATGCATGCAAGAGCTGGGGTACAGGCCAGAGGTGTGGGGGGTAAGAGGATTCACCAGAGACAGAGTGGGAGACAAAATAGGCAGATTGACCAAAGTACACTGCTGAGGGGAGCAGTGGGCGAGTCAAGAGAGGTCTGCTGTGCCATGTGGGTTGCTCCCCAGCAGGGAACGAGCTTATGCTGCAGAGGTTGCATCTTAACCCCTTGCGCCACCAGGGAGGCCCGCCACCAGTATTTACTTGTGATGGATATATACCTCATTTGGGTGTAAGCAATTTGAATTATAATCTTATTGAGTCCTCCAGTCTTTTCTATAACATTGACCCTATTGGGATATTATCGGCTTCTGGCAGGTTATTTAGCTTGCACACGGCACACAAGAAGGAAGGTATACTACACTCAGCTCTGGGTGTTTCAGAGCTGTGCCATCCCAACAGAAATACAATACAGATCACATGTGAGATTTCAATTTTCCTTCTATATAGACACTTTTCTTTTACACATATACATATAAATTATTTTATTTTATATAATTCTTACATCATTTTTCATTTTCGCATAATGTTTGCATTTTCATTTTGGTTATATTCCCCATATAATTCCCACCCTCTTTTTCTGACCCTAATCCTTCTTCTTCTTCCCCCGACCCCTACTATAGTGTGTCTCTGGTCTATAGTTGCTTGTTGATTTTGATTTTTACTTTATTGCAATTAGTCTTTTTCCTGGTCCCTTATTTAGGTTTCCTAAATTCCTGCTATTAGTGAGATGATCCAGTACTTTTCTTTTTCTTTCTGGCTTATTTCTCTGAGCATGATCCCTTCCAGCTCCATCCACATTGCTGCAAATGGCATGAGTTTATCTTTTTTGATTGCTGAGTAATATTCCATTGTGTATATGTACCACATCTTCTTGATCCAGTCATCTATTTTTGGGCATGTGGGTTGTTTCCATAGCTTAGCTATTATAAATAGTGCTGCTATAAACATAGGGGTGCAGGTGCCCTTTTGAATTAATGTTTCTGTGTCTTTGGGGTAAATACCCAGGAGTGGAATTGCTGGATCATATGGAAGCTCCATCTTTAGCAGGTTGAGGAATCGCCACACAGCTCTCCATCGTGGTTGGACCAGTTTGCACTCCCACCAGCAGTGCAGGAGAGTTCCTTTTTCTCCACATCCTCATCAACATTTGTTGTTGCTAGTTTTTTTTTAATATGTGCCTTTCTCACTGGTGTAAGATGGTATCTCATGGTAGTTTTGATTTGTGTTTCCCTGATTACAAGTGATGTTGAACAATTTTTCATAAGTCTGTTGGCCACTTGCTTTTCCTCTTCAGAGAAGTTTCTTTTTAGCTTTTCTGCCCATTTTTTGACTGGATTATTTAGTTTGTTTTTGTTGAGCCTCATAAGCTGTTTGTAGATTTTTGTGATCAGTCCTTTATCGTTAATGTTGTGTGCAAACATTTTCTCCCAATCGGTAGAGTGTCTCTTTGTTTTGGTTTCTGTCTCTTTTGCTGTACAGAAGCTCTTTAATTTGATGTAGTCCCAGCTGTTTATCTTTGCCTTCACTATACTACTTTGGGTGATGTGTCTGTAAAGATGTCTTTGAGGTGCATGTCATGTAGTGTTTTGCCTATATTTCCTTCTATATATTTTATGGTTTCAGGTCTTATGTCTAGTTCTTTAATCCATTTTGAGATGGTTTTTGTGCATGGTGTGAGGTAGCAGTCAGGCTTCATTCTTTTGCATGTAGCGACCCAGTTTTCCCAGCACCATTTATTGAACAAACTTTCTTTGTCCCATTGCATATTCTTTGTTCCTTTGTCAAAGATTAGTTGACCATAAATCTGTAGGTTTATTTCTGGATTTTCTATTCGGATCCATTGGTCCATGTGTCTGTTCTTGTTCCAATACCATGCAGTTTTGATTATTAGGCCATGTCTTGGCACATGTGGCTGCAGGCTTGCGGGTGGGAGAAGAGCTCCAGGGGCTGCATTCTAGGAGTGGGTGAGGGAGGTGGTAAGGTGGGAATGTACAAAATAGTGTGAAAGGGGAGTGAGGCAGGGTAAGGGGCTGATCATTCAGTGTGGGAATCATCAGGTGAGCGGAGGAAGAATGTGGGTGTCTGGATCATTACCTTGCTTCAGAGCAGGGGCAGAGCACAGCTCTGGGAGCTGCAGGCCTTAGGCTGACCCCAGCCTTGTGGTTTTCTAGCTCTCTACTGACCTCGAGGAGGTCATGCATTTCAGTCTCCCATTTCCTTCTCTGTAAAATGAACATATTCATACTGCCCCAAAGGGTTGTTATTAGACTAGATGTAACATAAAAATACTAAGCCTTGGATAAATGTGGCTTAATATTTATCTTTCTGATTAATAGTTTTCTAAATTTTGCACCATATGAATCATTTGCCTTATGGTTTCCTTCCTTGTCCCATTCACAGTGAAAAAATGAAACTGAAAAACAAGGTTACTCAAAGTCTAGTGGGGTCACTGGGATGGGAGTTGGGAGTTTAGAAGTGACTGGCCCAGGCAGACTGGGTGAGGTGTGGGAAGGAGGGCAGAGGAGCCCGACAGCACGTATCACACAGTGGGCCTACAGCATCTGGCAGAGTCCTTGGTGTGTCCAGATGTCACTCACCTCCCCCTCTGCTGGACTTTGCCACAGGGTCACGCCTCAAAGCCAGAAGTTTATGGCTCCCACCTGCGCAGGTGGACAGGAAACAGCATCTCTTCCCCATGTCTCTCCACCCCACTGTGGTCAAGGAAGGGATTCCAGGAAACTCCATCTCCTTGTGACCTCATGGCATGCTTGTCCCCAGTCGAAAGGCGGGAAGGAGGCAGTTGTTGTGGAGAATGGGCTGACCAGACCACTTCTGGGAAATGCTGGGTAATTGGAGAAGCCTGGAGTTTGAACCCATTCAGATGATGGGTGTTGGCCAGCGCTCCGGGGAAGCACAAGAGGTGGAGCCAGGTAACTTCCCTGCTCTCCTCTCTCCTAGCCTCCAAGTACTTTCCCTCTGTGATTCACATAAAAGTGACTCAATTTCAGGCAAAGGGAATTTGTGTGGCCTGAGGCAGAGGCCTGAGCAGACAGGCTGGGGAAGATACCGTGATGCCCTCAACCCCCTCCAATAGGGGCGCTGCCTGTCCTGCCTGCAAGGGACCCCTGGAGGATGCAGTGACTGCCACCTGTGGACACACCTTCTGCCGGCTGTGCCTTCCCCCACCCTCCCAGATGGGGGCCCAGGCCTCTGGCAGAGTCCTGCTCTGTCCCCTTTGCAACCAGAAGGAGGAGAAGGAGAACCTCCTGGTTCCTGTGCCCCTGGGCCCTTTGGGAGAGACTTACTGCGAGGAGCACGGTGAGAAGATTTACTACTTCTGTGAGAATGATGCCGACTTCCTCTGTGTGCTCTGCCGGGAGGGACCCTCCCACCAGGCCCACACTGTGGGCTTCCTGGACGAAGCCATTCAGCCTTACCGGGTAAGGAGCCTGGCTTTTACTCAGGCCTCTGGGCAGGACAATGTCCTGTCATAGTGAAGGGACTGGGCTGGGAATCTGGATGAAGGACCATGGTTTCTATATCAGGGGACCTCAAGGCTGTAGGGACACTGGGGACACTCCCAGACTGTCCCAGCCACATTTCACTTGGATATGTGGGCATTCAGCCTTAGCGGGGACCTCAGCTCCAGCTGCCAGAGGGACCCCCTGGTGATGGAGCAGCAGGAATTGAGCCCTGTCTACTACTGCACTCACCATGGAAGGGACGCAGAGCAGGGCCTCCTGCAGGTTATGGGCAGGGAAACCCAGGGCCCAGCCTGGATATGGATTTCCCAACGCCCTAACTCTGGACTCAGAGGGAAATGCGGGGCGGGCAGGGGTGACCTATAAGCACTGCTGTTCCTTTTGGGGAAGGAAGGGGTGGCGTAGCCCATCTAATCTTGGGGACATTGTCTATTCCTGTCACCTCAAATCTTTCTTCTGCCATCTAGTCACCAGGTCACAAAGTGGTCTCCTCAGAAGCATCTGCCGAATCTTTACCTCTGCCTCAACTCCACAGCCACGACCAGCTCCGCTCTCACCACCTCACACTCAGACTTTGCATCGCCTCTGTGTTCCCTGCCTCCCCTCTCACCTTTCCAGCCACCCTCTAATCTGCTTCGAGTTAGATCTTCCTAAAACACAAAGCTCCCAGCTTTGTGGTTTTGCTCTCCTGCTCACAACACTTGCATGGATCCCTAGTGCTCAGAAAAAGCTCAGTGTCTTCAGCAAGGAGTGCACGTCCCCTTCACAGCCAGACCCTCCCTTCCTGTCCCAGCCGCCCTCCCCGAGGCACCAGGAGTTCACGCAGGCCAAACTGCGTATCTTTTTTTTTTTTTTTTTTTGGTCCTATCATTTTAAATTTTTTTTTTATTTTTTTAAATAAATTTTATTTTTACATTCCCCATACAATTGCAACCCCCTTATTTTGACCCCAATCCCTCCCCTCCCCAACCCCCACCCCCCATAGAGTGTCTCTGGTTCATAGTTTTTGTTGATTTTGATTTTCACTTTCTTATAGTTATTCATTTTCCTGGTCCCTTATTAAGTTTTCTAGATTCCTGCTATGAGTGAGACCATCCGGTATCTTTAATGTTTGTCTTTCTGATTAATAGAATTTTCTAAATTTTGCTCCACATGAATCATTTGCCTTATGGCTTCTTTCCTTGTCCTACCCACAGTGAAAAAATGAGACTGAAGTACAAGGTCACTGAAACTCTGGTGGGGTCACTGGCACTGGGGTGGGGTGGGGTGGGAGTTTGAAGCCACCAGCCCCGCAGACTGGGGGAGGCGAGGGAAGGAGGGCGCCGTGGGCAGGAAGTCTACTTCCGTTTCTAATACATTGGCAGGTAGTTCCTTCCTCCCGGAATGCTCTCCTCACTCTATCATTTGTTTCTTTACACTTTTAATTGTTAGGTCTACAACTCGGGCATTGAGTATACGCCTCCTGTCTCTTTCCTACTGGGAATTTATCTTCCACGCCCAGAGCTAAGGGTCCCCTCTTTCTAAAACCTTGCCTGCCCCTCCTCTGCACTGCCATCTGCTGTGCCCTCCTCCAGCACAGCAGTTGTCTACAACATTTTAAGCACTTGTCACCCATCCCTGCCCTGCAAGCCCGGCTCCTCGGGCAAGGACGGCACCTTTTCCACCTCTGAGTCCTCAGCTCTCAGCAGTGCACCGGAAGGTAAAAGTTAAAATCTGTGTGTTAAACTAGGAAGAGACCCCAGCTTTCTGCCCATTCTTCTCCTGCAGGAGCGGCTCAGGAGTCGGTTGGAAGCTCTGACTACGGAGAGAAATGAGATTGAAGATGTGAAGACTCGAGAAGATCAGAAGCTCCAAAAGCTTCTGGTAAAGCCACATCCAAGGACTACCTTTTCCTTCAGGGGCTTCTCAACAGACTGGGGAAGTTTGTTGGTATCTGCCTCGCTGGGAAGAATTGGCAAACTGTTTTCATTTACCTCCCTCCCTGCCCCTGCCCCTGTACAAGGGCATTTGGAGACAAGCCTTTGGAATTCCAGAATATCAGAGTTAGAAGTGGTTCTGACATTTTCTAATACAAGATTTTATCAGCCATTTTTTTTTTTTTTTTTTTTTTTTTTTTTACTGCAGCAGAAAATACAATCCAGGAAAGTGATGTTCCCAAGGCCATCTGGCAAAGCCCAAGTTCACGGTGGAATGACTAGAGCCAGATTTCTCTTTTTCTTTTTTTAAAAAAAGGTTTATTTATTTATTTATTTATTTATTTATTTATTTATTTATTTATTTATTTATACAAGCACTGGGTACAGTCAGAAGCACCGGAGGGTGAGAGAATTCACCATAGCCAGAGCGGGGAACAGAACAGGCAGACCGATGAAATACACTGCTGAGGGGAACAGCGGGCGGCAGGAGAGGTCTGCACACCATGTGGGACCCTCACCGGTGGCCGGGGATCAAACCAGTGCTGCAGAGGCTGTGGGCAGCTTCGCAACCCAGTGCTCAACCGCTGCGCCACCAGGGAGGCCCTAGAGCCAGATTTTTTGATCCCCCTTAGTGCATTCCTCTTTCCATCCCAGTCTGTCTGTGTGAAAGCGATGTCATCACATGGGGAGCTCGGGGCCAGAGGCATCTGCATTCTAGCCCTGATCCCAGGCTGACCTAAGGATAGTAGACTGATGGTGTGGCGATCTCTGGCTTACTCCTACCTTTTTCATGCTACAGAGTCATCCAGGAGTAACTCCTAGTGTGGGGCTTTCTGGCACTCTGACCAAAGAGACAGAGTTTTAAGATAGGAAGCTATCTCTAGCATCTCTCAATTCCCATCAAACTATTATCTGTAGGGTCTCCCTGGTGGCGCAAGGGGTTGAGACACAGCCTATGAAGCTGTCCACAGCTAGAGCAGCATGAGTTTGATCCCCACCCAGGGAGCTATCCACATGGAATAGCAGACCTCTTCTGACTCGCCCACTGCTCCCCTCAGCAGTGTATTTCAGTCAATCCAACTGTTCTGTTCCCCGCTCTGTCTCTGGTGAATCCTCTCATCCCCCGCATATCTGGCCTGTACCCCAGTTCTTGTATGCATAAATAAATAAATCTCTTTTAAAAAAATATGATCTGTAGATGGTGACCTCGGTGGCTAAGACCCGAGCCACTTACTCTTCTTTTTTTCTTTAAATTTATTTTATTTATTTATGCATATAAGAGCTGGGGTATAGGCCAGAGGTGCAGGGTAGGAGATGAGAGGATTCACCAGAGACAGAGCGGGGAATAGAACAGATAGATCTACTGAAATACACTGCTGAGAGGAGCAGCGGGTGAAACAAGAGAGGTCTGCTGTGCCATGTGTGTATCTCCCTGGCCGGCTGGGCTCGAACTCGTGCTACAGTGGCTATGGACAGCTTCACAGTGCTGGGACTTAACCCCTTGAGCCAAAAGGGAAGCCCCTCACTCACTCTTCTAATAACTTGGGTGGACTCTAATCACAGTTTCCTTTTGCTTCAGTTGCTCTTTAAGAAACCACTATAACAATCGTCACCTGATTCTAGGGAAGGATGTGTAGAGTTAGGATGCCATCATAAATGTGGAAGGATGCAAGCTTTTCAAAAAGTCCAACATGACTCTGAGGGCATAAAGTGGCATCATTATTAAAATCTCTAAATAAGATAAGAGCATAGCCCTCAGCATTGGGTGTTTAGCCTGAGACCTACCTATTTCTACCATGCTATTATTTGACAGAAAGTCTTGGACCTAGTTACACCATCTCTCTCTTAATCAACAGTAAGCGTATAGATGATCCTCCTGGAAGCCAGCTCCTAACCATGTCATTTTTTTTTTTAATCCTTTGCAGAATCAGATCGAAAGCAAAAAGAAACAGGTAGAAGCAGTTTTTGAGAAGTTGCGCCAAGAGCTGGGGGATCAGCAGAGTTTCCTGTTGGCCAGCCTGAGGGAGCTGGAGCAGCAGGTCTGGAAGGAGAGGGAGGAGTACATCTCCACGGTCTCTGAGGAGGTCTCCCGGCTTGGCGTCCAGGTCAAGGAGCTGGAGGAGAAGTGTCAGCAGCCAGCAAGTGAGCTTCTGCAAGTGAGAGACACCCACCACCCCATGGAAGAGGGACCCCACAGGAAGGGAACACCGTACTCAGGGCTAAAAGATGCTGGGGAGGACATGGGAGGCAGGAAGGGGAAGTAGAGGTTATCCAGTTATTTTCGCTAAAAGAAATTACAGATGTGCAGACCCAGAAAGGCTGGATGAGCTCTACATGTGACCCACTGGGGTCATGCCAAGGCTTTGGTGGCAGAGGAGGGTCTTGGGTTGAGTGTCAGCCCTTCCAGCTGTGTGACCTTGGCAGGTCTTGTAATCTCTCTAAAGATTTATTAATTAATTAATTTATTTATACAAGCACTGGGTACAGTCAGAAGTGCGGGAGGGTGAGAGAATTCACCAAAGTCAGAGCGGGGAGCAGAGCTGCGCCACCAGGAAGGCCCAGGTCTTGTAATCTCTCTAAACGTGGAGATAATAATAGCTCCTCCCTCGAAGAGATGTTGCAAAGATTAAGGAAGAATCCATGTGAAATGCTTAGCCTGATTTCTAATTCATGGAAAGAACTCAATGCAGGATGCCTGTTGTGATTATCATTATATATTACATTATCCTATTTCACATCAGGTCTGGATCATAAGGCAAAGCCGGGTCCCTGCTCTTCCCACCTCTTAATTGTTGGAGGCAGAATACACCCCCCAGGAAAGGCTGGGACAGAAAAAGCAGCTCAAGTGAACAGGCTACGGAGCCTCCAGTTAGCAAGGAAACAGGATGTAAAATAGCAGTGTGATGAAGAGGCAATTAAACAGGTACAGCTCTCTGGAGGAAGTGAATTGTGAGCTGATATGTTAAGAAAGAAAGAATGTATAGACCCTCTGACGGGAACCGGGTATGGGAACTAAATGCATGTTCTCTTTCTTTTGCAGGATGCCCGAGGCAACCACAGCAGGTAGGGCCGCTCCCCAGTGCCACTTCCTTACACTCTGAGGGTGGAGGGGGACCCACAGACCCCTCGCCCCATGCATGGCTGCACAGAAAAGCAAAAGCACTCACACACATTCACTCACACGTGAACAGTCCAAACCTAAAAGTTTATGTACTAAAGTTTCATTTTTAAATGTAGGACTGATTGGTTTGGGGAACACTTTTTTTCCCCTTTAAAGTGAAGTTATAAATAATAATCATTGGGGCCTCCCTGGTGACACGGGGTTAAGTCTCAGCACTATCAAGCTATCGCCATGAGTTCAATCCCCAGCCAGGGAGCTACCCACATGGCGCAGCAGTGTATTTCAGTAGCTCTGCCTGCTCTGTCTCTGGTGAATCCCCTCACCTCGTCCCCGTGTCTCTGGCCTCTACCGCAGTTTTTGTATGCATAAATAAATAAATAATCATGTTTGGGGGCTTATCCAGTAACATCTATTTAATCCTTGAAATTATTAGCACTAGAGTTAGCATTTAACACCATTTAATATATTATCCTAGATGGAATTTTATTTATTTTTTTTGTAGAATATGATAAGCACAGAACCTGGGAAGCCCAGCCTGCTTTTTCAATCATTTCCCATTCAACTTCCTCATTTCCTTCAGAATTTCAAATGCTACTATAAAAGTGCAGCCACAAGGAGCTTGCCCTAAGGATTGCCAGTCCCGGTGGTGGGGGGAGGGAGGAGCGGAAACACACAAGTGGGCAACACTACTATATACTGTGTGCCTAGCATGGGGCAGAATTGAATGTAGGTGTCCATGAATCAGGAAGTGTTTCTAAACATACTTTTCAAAGAGTGCCAGACATTTAAATCTAGAAGGGCCTTGGATGCCTTCTACTCTGAGGAAGAAGCTGAGACTTGGAGGGGGAAGTGCTTGCGTAAGGTCACACAGCAAGTGACAAGCAAGGACTGAGCTGAAACCAGAATCAGGGGCCTTTTCACTGCAATATATGTTTTCTTTCATCTCGTTTTCTTTCCCCATCCCTTTCCATTTTGTAATGAACAGCACATAAACCAGAAATAGTTTAAGGGGCCTCCCCAGTGGCGCAGAGGTTGAGCACTGGGTTGCGAAGCTGCCCGCAGCCTCTGCAGCGCCGGTTCGATCCCTGGCCACCGGAGAGGGTCCCACATGGTGCGGCAGACCTCTCCTGCCACCCGCTGCTCCCCTCAGCAGTGTGTTTCATCAGTCTGCCTGTTCCGTTCCCCACTCTGGCTCCGGTGAATCCTCTCACCCTCCTTCGATTCTGACTGTACCCAGTGTTTGAATGAATGAATGAATGAATGAATGAATAAATAAATAGATAAATAAATAAATAAATAAGTTAAAGTGTTCTTCAGGTGGTACCTTACTGCCCTCTAGAGGCAAATAGGGGTAATGACTTCTGAGGCTTTCCAATTCCACCTGTCCTTTGAAAGAACCTACATCTGGGTTTTGAGGAGTGATTACTGTTAGTCTCCCTTAGGTCTAACTGAAATATCTCTGGCTTTAGAAGCTACATTTACATTTTCAGCAAAGCTAAGAGATCAAAGTTATCGATCTAATTAGTCACCACAGACACCAAAATTCTTTAGTAAGATTTTAGCTTAACTTGGTCTCTATGACCCAAATGTTGTTTTGGGGCTTTTTTGTTTTTGTTTTAAAGATTTATTTATTCATGCACACAAGAACTGAGGTACAGGCCAGATGTGTGGGAGGGTGAGAGGATTCACCAGAGACAGAGTGGGGAACAGAACAGGCAGACTGACTCAAATAAACTGCTGAGGGGAGCAGCAGGTGAGACAGGAGAGGTCTGCCACGCCATATGGGTATCTCTGTGGCTGACCGGGATAGAGCTCGCGCTTCAGAGCCCACACTTCAGAGGCTGTGGACAGCTTCACAGCTCTGTGCCCAATGCCTGCGCCACCAGCAAGGTCCCCAAATGTTGTTTTTGGAATTAGAATCTAACTGGTTCCCAATGACCTGCAGGTGTGAGATGAAGAATTTCGTGTGCCCAGAGGCCGTTTCTCTTGACCTCATCAAGAGGATCCGAGATCTTCACAGGAAAATACTTACCCTCCCAGAGATGATGAAGGCCTTCTCAGGTAAAGGGGGATGGGCAGTGGCCTCCCCCTCACATTAGCAGCCCTCTCTGCCTGCTGTCCATTTTCATCTTTTCTATCTTCCAAACCTGGCTCAAGACATCTTCCTTCATTAAACTTCCCCTTAGTGATTCCACTCTTCCCGGGGGGCCCATTCCCTGGAGCATCTCCTCTGTTCCCCAAGGACAGCACTGGACTGAGAGTCCAGGAAGGTGACAGCTGCCTCTCTTTCAATAGACCCAAAGCAGAAGCTGAAACTTCTCCTGTTCTTGTCCTCACACTGTTCCCAGAACATGCTGCCCTGGGGGGCTTACCTGTAAGAAACAAGATGTCACAGATCTTTCTATTTTTGCTTTCCTCAGAAAAGTTGGTGCGTCATCTGGAAACAGATTCAGGTAAACAGTTGGGGTTTAGGGGAAACTTTCTTTAATCCATCTACTCCTGAATTTACCCATTCAACCCAAGGCAAGCAGAGCAATTAAATGCATGAACTTGGGACCTGATGGCTTGGGTTCTCTGTTCTAGCTATTGCATGTTAAGAGACACTGGGAAACTTATTAAACCTCTTTGTCCCATAGTTTCATGTATAAAAATGGAAGATGTAATAGTACCTACTCTGTAAGTAGCTGTGAGGTAAACGGAGTAATACATACAAAAAGTTTCCTGTAGTACTGGCACAATTAAGTCATTATTTAATTTAAAAATATATCAAGGTTTTGCTTTTTACCCAGCAATATGCTAGACTTGGATAAATTGAATTGAATGAATACTGTATGATTTTAAAAATAGCATTTACTTTTAAATCGGTGCTTAACTTAGAAACTGTTTCCACAAGTATCACCTCAGTCTGCTTTTCAAACTCAATGTGCAGGAAATCACATGGGGGTCATGTTAACATGCGGGTCCTGATTCAGCAGGTAGGGGATGGGGCTCTAGATGGCATTTCTCACAAGCTTCCAGGCAAAACGTGCCTCTGGCCCACGGTGGCCAGAGCTCTGGGAGCAATGCCTTACAGTACAGCACCCCTGGCAGGTCGGGTAGAAGAGCTTTCATCCCCTGTCCTGGTGGAACAGAAGGGGACACTGGGGTTCAGGAAGTCAGGCCAGTGGCGGGCTGCGTGCGCTTTTGCTGCCTCCCCCGCACAGAGCGGTTGCCAGCTCTGTTGAGTCTCTCTCCTCCCCAGGGCTCATCACTCTGGACCCCCAGACCGCCAACCGCAGCCTGGTCCTCTCGGAGGACGGGAGGTCGGTGAGGTACACCCGGCGCAAGCAGAACCCGCCCGACAGTCCCCTGCGCTTCAAGGACCTCCCTGCCTTGCTGGGCTCCCCCGGGGCGCCACCGCTGGCAGGTGGAGGTGCAGCTGGGAGATGGCGGAGGCTGCATGCTGGGGGTGGCCCGGGAAGACGTGAGGAGGAAGGGAGAGCAGGTCTTGAGCACCGACGAGGGCATCTGGGCCGTGTTCCTGTCGCAGACGGGGTGCTGGGCCAGCACCTGCCCCATCAAGGACCTGGCGCTGAGTGAGGTTCCGCGCCAGGTGTGTGTCATCCTGGACTACGAGCTGGGGCTGGTGACCCTGCTCAACGCCGAGACGGAAGCTTCCATCTTCACTTTCAACGCCCCCTTCTCCTGCAAAATCTTCCCTTTCTTTGCAGTCTGGAAAAAAGGTTCCTGCCTTGTTTTGAAAGGCTGAGGCGGACAGTTGCAAGGGCTGTGTATCCTGTGGAGATAGCAGCACCCTGGGGTGCAGGACCCCTGGCCAGCGGGGTGACCTCGGACTCCTCATTGTGCCCAAGTGGGGCGAGGGGACAGGGATGTCTGAGTCCACACAGCTTTGTGATTGTTTTTATTTATCGCATGTCCCTCAAGTCCCTGTCTTCTTGGTCTCTCTGCTGACTCTCCAGTTCTCTGTTCTGGGTGAAGGACCAGGGGCAGGCAGGACTGCTCCTAGGACAACAGCGATGCTGGGGTGCCAAGGGGTTTTTGAAATAAGAAACAACAACAGCAACAGCAACAACAACAACAACAAAAAAAAACTAAAAAAATTTTTTAAATTAAATTTAATTTAATTTTTATATTCCCCACACATTTGCAACCCCCTGATTTTGACCCCAACCCCTCCGTTCCCTGCCCCCCCCCCATAGTGTGTCTCTGGTTCATAGTTGTTTGTTGATTTTGATTTTTTCTTTCTTATAGTTATTCTTTAAAATTTGTTTTTAAGATGCAAAAGAACCATGGGAAAAAACAGGACTTTGTTGGACTGCCCTAATTTATACGGTTTGTGTGTGTGTGTGTGTGTGTGTGTGTGTTTTGGGCCATGCACATGAGGATGCTTCCCACCCTTATATATATAGGACTTAAGGCATATTCCTTCAACCCTGTGTGGATCCAGGTTCCCTTCCTTTCTGACACCCTTCAGGTCATTTTCTTGTACAGAATGTCCTAATAAAGTGTGGGACTCAGCCAGACTCTGCATTTCGTGTGTCTGATCAGTGCTGACTGGGTGGGAGGAAGACAGTCTTACAGCCAGAGGCACCTCTGTGACCTCTGTCATTGAGACTTGCCTAACAGCAGTGGACACCAGACCCCGCTGTTCAGTAAAACAGCATTGTGCTCAGGTCTAAGCAACCTCTCAAATATTTATTATTATCACCATTATTATTATTACTCTTGGACACAGAAACAGACCACACATTAAGATGGATTTACAAAGCAAACTATGAATCTTTTTAACAACCGTGTCCACACCACTACCACCTCATTCTGATTCTAGCTTTTTCCCTTTCTCTCAACACTCCCTCCTGTTTATGCTCCCAATGCACCCCCTGAAGGTGTTCAATCCCCAATCCAATCACCTTTATCCTCAGTATGAGTAAATGTACAAGATAACCTTCTATAACCTATGACCCCAACCCTTGAAGTGTGGGATCAGCTGATTTAGACATTCTAAGTGCTTGTACCATGTGAATTTCATTATCAGATATAATATCAATCATTATGATACGGACAATTACTCCAAATTTAATAGAACAAATATCCTTGGTAAGAATAAAAGGGCAGGGGCTCCCTGGTTGTACAAGGGGTTGAGAAACAGCACTGTGAAGCAGTCCACAGCCACTGCAGCACCGGTTCGATCCCAGGCCAGGGAGGTGACCCACATGGCGCAGCAGACCTCTCCTGTCTCACCTGCTGCTCCCCTCAGCAGTGTTTTTTAGTACATCTGCCTGTTCTGCTCCCTACTCTGTCTCTGGTAAATCCTCTCATCCCCCACACCCTGCACCCCAGCTCCTGTATGCATAAATAAATAAATTTTAAAAAAAAAAGAAGAAGCCAGGGGACTTGAGGTTTTCTTGATTTGGAAAAAAATCAAGTTGTTTGGTGGGCCAATCCAGTAACAGTAGTAGTAGTAGTAGTAGTAGTAGTAGTAGTAGTAGTAGTAGTAGTATTGCTTAATGTTTATTATAAAAGTCGTATACACTCATGGTTAAAAAAAGATTACAACATTTTCAAGAGCATAGGTTTAAAAAAAAAATCTCTGAATAAGCAGTCCATAATAATCACTGGTATTAACTATTTGTGTAACTTGCCAGTTTTGTATACAAGTATATTTAGTTTTAATGTTTTACATGAATGAGATTATACCACAAATATTCTTTGTAGACCCTAGAAGAAAAACTGTATGTAACACATGTTAAATTATAACGTGTCAAACACAAAGGAAGTAAAAACAGTGTTTTTCCAAAAAATGCATATCTTTCCTTTGAACCCTATAACAAACATGTGAAATACATAGGACATATTTTGCTTTTCTCACTCAGTAGTTGAGGAAACTGGCACACAGCTAAATGAACTTGTCCATCTAGTTTCACAGCCAGTGTTTGGAACCTACTGGAATTAGAATTTACCTGTCCTGGTCTCAGTGGCTCAGTCTGGTGGCCTTTCCACCTTGCTCAGACTTCCTGGACAGACAGATCTCAGTGAGGCTTTGGTCTTTTTTTGGGGGGGTTGGGTTTTTGTTTTAAGATTTATTCATTTATACATATAAGAGCTGGGGTGTAGGTCAGAGGTTGGGGGGGTGAGAGGATTCACCAGAGACAGAGTGGGGAACAGAACAGGCAGATTGACTGAAATACACTGCTGAGGGGAGCAGCAGGTGAGTCAGGAGAGGTCTGCTGCGCCATGTGTGTCCCCTCCCTGCCCGGGGATCAAACTCATGCTGCAGTTGCTGCAGATTGCTTCACGGTGCTGACGCTTAACCCACTGCGCCACTAGGGAAGCCAGTGGGGCTTTGTTACCTCTGCACTAGACTAGTGTTTTAGACAGACAAGCCCTTTTTGGTTGAGTGTGAAAGAGAAAAACAAACAACTTTCACTGTATTTGTAAGCCTCCAGTATACTTCTAATTTTACAGTGGTCCACGTAACTTAAGGGTGTGGATATATACATTTGGATGCTCTGAACCAAAATTAAATTGCCCTGCAAAAGGAAGAAAAAAAAAGTTGTAGATGAAAGGGAAAGTTTAGGAGCAGTCAAGATCCAAGAATGAAGACTGGGAGCTACCTGGAGAAAAACAATCCACTTGGTGGCAGGAGAGTTTGAATATATTTGGACTGCAGTGTTTGTGAGTAAAATCCTTCTTTATCTCCACTGCAGGATGCTCCTCGCAATCTACATTGGTCTCACTGCTTTGTAAGCACTGCCAATCTGGGGCATGTGAAAGGACTGAGTTCTGTCCACTACTGGGCAGAAGGCCAAAAAAAAAGAAAAGAAAAAAACCACAAAAGAACTGTCAGACTGCTGGATGACATGAGGAGCAACTGCACACTTAAAGTGCCTCAGAGCAAAGGCCAGGACACCAGGTATGCGTGGGGCCTCAGTGAAGGCAAGCAGCTTTATATGCTAAATGGTGAGGGCAACACACCACGTGCTTCAGGCCCCCTGATCTGTGGATCTGTACCCCCATCAGCCAGCATCAGGACCTGGGACTTCAAGGGCAAAATCATCGTAGATGAACCAAAGCAAGAAGTTATCAGAGTTTTAAACTCTTTAGTGGACCTGGCTCTTTATAAAAGAATTTAACAAGAAAGCAAGACAAACTAGATCCAGACAAGGTTGTTTGTTGTTTTAATTAGGCTGTGCACAAGGGAGACAGGACTGAAATAGGAAGTTTCCAAGCTCCTCTCTGAGGTCAGTTGGGAAAAGGTTTTTAAGGCCGTTCACCCCAAGGGCGGGGTGGAAGGGAGCAGCATCATAGCGTGTTTTGGGGTGGTTTACACGGCACATGCTCAGAAGGAGTACGTGCTTCTTCATACTTTACGTGTGTAATTAACAGCTTAAGTCTCCACCTAAGGGTGTGTGTTTTAGCATTCCAATAAGACCTAGGTCACGTCTAGGGCAGGTTTGTGTGTTGTTGTTGTTGTTTTTCTGTTTTTGTATGCAGACCCTCAGCACCCACCCCTCCAAGAAATTGGGAGACCATCAGTTGCAGAATCATCAGTATGTGGCCATTTGTTAGTCTAATGGTATATATCAAGCAAGTTGCTGAAACAAGACATTTAGACAATATCTATGATTTAATCCATCTGTTTAAAGCAGGATGCTAGGTAAATCCTTCTTGCCAGCTACAATTTAATCCACCTAGATAATCCCATCAGTACCAGCAGCAAGGCAGAATCCCCCCAGGGCCCCTCTCTGGTCTGGTCTGATAGTTTACAGACCTCAACAAAAAAGAGTGAGTCCTTTGCCCTCTAGAGAAATAATTCACCAGAGAGTTCTAGGTGTAGTTGGACCAAGCAAGGCTCTTATACAAATGGGAAATATAAATGTTGTCCACAGGTTAAACAGGCAAGAATTGAACCTTGGTGTGGGACAATAAAGCCCACCCTTCATTGATCTGAGGCTTGAGACCAACTACAAGGACACAGGCCATGCTTTACAGCCATTTTAGTGATGTCTCCGAAGTTGACAAGGTTGTCTTTTATAAAAAAGATGGTTTCAGTTTGCAATTAATTGGGTAAAAAATTAATTGCAATTAATTAGCTTGAAACATCATAGCCAGACATTTTTTTTATTTGTTCTTTTATTGTTCACAATTATTTTTAATATAGTTTTTATTTTTTTAATAATTTATTTTGAATATATTTTTTAATCATTCTTCTTTTTTGTTACAGTGTATGTTTTCTCATCACAGTTACAGTCCTCGTGAAATTCCCACCACCAATTCACCCGGGCAACATCACCAAGGTCCCTTGTGCTCTTCCCACCTGTTTTGATACTACTCTTTTCTCCCCCACTGCAGAATGTCTCCGATTTTGATTTTCACTTTATTATAATAACTTTTTTCCTGATCCCTTATTTGGATCCTCTACATTCCTCCTCTAAGTGAAACCATCCAGTATTTTTCTTTTTTTTCTGGCTTATTTCACTGAGCATGATCCCTTCCAGCTCCATCCATTTAGCTGTGAATGGCATGAGTTTATCTTTTTTTGATTGCTGAATAATATTCCATTGAGTATATGTACCACATCTTCTTTTTTTTAAGATTTATTTATTTATACAAGCACTGGGTACAGTCAGAAGCGCGGGAGGGTGAGAGAATTCACCAGAGCCAGAGAGGGAAACAGAACAGGCAGACAGACGAAATACACTGCTGAGGGGAGCAGTGGGCGTGGCAGGAGAAGTCTGCGCACCATGT